GAAACCGAAACGTTGCTTTTTCAATCCAATCCGGTTTTTAGCTAACCTCAGTCTAACTCTTTACTAACAAAAAACCAGCAGCCTAATTCGTGATCTTTTGAAAACAGAAAGCTTGATAAGTGACTATGACATTTTTGACTTTTGTGTTTGTTTGTTTAACTCTTTCATAAACAAATGCAAAAATATTACATGATCACCAAAAAAAAACAACTCAATGAAAAATTATTTCTGAAACAAACCGAATTGATCAGCTGTGGCATCATTGCTTGCAATTGTTGTTGCATTGCCGGATTGTTCGCAAAAATTGGATTCGATGCGAGCATCTAAAACTGATTATTAGACATCACTTTTTACAGATACAATCAACTAAATAATCAGGTCAACTGCAGATGAACTCTTTTCAACAGAAAATGATCAGTAGAGGTCTCTTTTTGGAGATACAATCAATTTAATCTTACCAATCCACATTCATCTCAGTTAAGGATGTACACACAAGTCACCATAATGAAGATAATAACAACCAACTCAACAAAACAATAATAGTAATAATAATAACACGAAACTTTATTAATAATTATCAACCTGCTGAATCAACGTCGGATTTTGCTGCAGCATTTGTGCCACATTGCTCATCGTTTCACCACCTAGTAGCTGCTGAGCCAGTGTTGGATCGGACAATAGTTGACGTGTTAGATTTTGAATGCCCGGCGAGTTCAACATATCTAAATGAATCAATTCATAACAATCACTGGCAAACAATCACAAACGGCAAAATGAAATCAAAATCACAAATGAATCTAACCAGCCATGAAATTCGGTGACTGTGCTGTCTCACTAGTATTTGCGCCGCCTGTGCTGCCAGTGTTCCCCGTTGTGTTCGTAGGTTGACTGGCACCCGAAGAACCACCCCAAGGATTCGGCAGTGCTTCTGCATTCTCCACTCCAGCACGTTGACTTCGCGATGCTAAAATTTCAAATTCATATCTCAACTACTAATACATGAGTAAAATAAATTCTCAACAAAAGCTAACATAAATATCCACTATATTATCATCTACCCAACAACTACCTATCAAACACAAATAAATTCAATTCAATTGCACCTCATCGGTCATAGTCAAAACATTTCATAAACTTAAAAATAACAACAAAAAAATTTCCATGCTAACAATCATTACAAACAAAAAACAACAAACTTGTATTTGATGAATTATCAACAAGAGATGCGAACGGATTATTTGCAAACGAACTAGTCGCACTGTTCAGCAGCGGCTCCTGC